CTACAAAATTGCTGGCAGGGTATATACATGTGAGTTTTTTCACTAACACAATCAAAAAACTTACCGTTTGAGTCAAACAAATTTGATGTGTGGCCGTGTCGCTTAATAGTTTTTTGCTCGTGACGTCTCTGTATACCAGTGTTGGCAAATAGAATTTTCAAATTGTACAAAACAGCATTAACAATTGTACTTTTTTGATTCCATTTGTACCAAATCATTTTTTTTTTTGGAAATTATATATCAATATGAAGTACTCTCAAAATTAACAGTTCATCTGTATCTATGGGCTAGATTAGTCATTAGACTAGTAAATAGACAAGTCCATTTTGTCACCAGATTGGTCCATAGACTAATACGGAGTCTATAGACTCCCTATGGACTACACAATAGAGTAGTCTATTGTACTCTATAGACTAGACAATATACTAGTCTATAGATTATAATGTTATATATTAGTCCAAAGGCAAATACATAGAGATGTCTATAAACTAGATAATAGAATAGCCTATAGACTATACTCTAAATACTAGATAATAGGACAGTCGGTAAATAACGCAAAGGCTACTTCATAGACTAGTCCCTAGACTAATTTCATTAGATTACACCAAAGTATAGTAAAATGTACTTTAAAAGTCTATTAAATTTATTTAAAATCGGATAAAATAAGTCCTAAATAAATAATAAATAATTGTGGAAAATTATTACTCTGCTTGTCTGGTTGTAATTTCTTTCAGGTTTCTAAACAATATGAGAGAATATAAACAAGAATTATATTTTTCCTCTTCAGAATTTATAGAAGGACTTCCTACCTTTGAACTTTATGTCAGAAGTACAATTTTAGATTATTATTTCAGTAAGAAAATTAATTTCAAATTTTACAAAATGGGTCATTGGTGTACCATTGTACTTTTGAGGATGGAATTGTACCAAAAAAGTACAATTGTACCAATTTTGCCAACCCTGCTATATACCCTTTGCTATGGGTTCGGATTATCCGCAACAACTTAACAAGGTACCAGCACTTGAGATCAAACACACGATTGCCAAATTTTTTTGTATGGAGTTTGACAAACGTGCGGTTTAAGCCTGTATACAAGTCTATGTATAAAAAATTGTAAACAATGATCAGCTACAGTACACCCAGTTCAGTACACCCTGCCTGTGATATTACATATAGTAGCATTTAAGCCCCCTTCACACGAGCACACATGTAATATGATTTGTCAAAATTTTGTGTACAGAACAGATGGGCTAAGAAACTGTTATTGTAGTGGTGAGAAAATACTAAAAAAGACTTAGAAAAAATATTGCCATAACAAGTAAAATAGTAAATTTTACAGATAAACATATTCAAAGAAAAGAAAAATATATATTTCTTCACAAAGATAAAGTTTTTTATTTAAAATGTGTAAAAAAGTATTAAAAATACTGTTTTTATGTGTTTTCATTCTTATGCATTAGTAAATTTTTTTTGGAGTGTACGAGTTTTTTGCAAGTAATTCTCAGGGTACACTAAACAGGTATATGCATCACTACAACAATACAAAAACAACATGTATTAAAATATTTTTTGATGTTTGTCTTTAAAAAAATCTTAATTTTATTTCAAAAAACATGCAGTGATTTTAAATGGAATTTTAAGGGATATGCATGTTTATATACTTATATTACGCTGGATGCTATTGGTAAATGTTACAGAGGACCTGCAAAAGCAAGATTTTGGAATAACCTGATTTATGCCACTAAATTTGTATCTTTAGCTACAAAAGTTTGGCAAACGAAAGTGGGGCCAGGCAACGGGCGCAATACTAAGGATTGTTGATATCTGAATTGGCCTGATTTGTGCCAATAACACAAAGTATACAGAGGTGTCACTTTTGACATTTAAAAAAGTCTAAAATCAGCTTTTGTTTGATTTTGAAATTGTTTGGTGAGAAGAGGTATATAAAATACAGCTAAAAAAATTATTGAATTCGTTTTGTGCGAAAGAGAGGGAAATAGTTTTTTGCTCGTGACGCCTCTGTATACCCTGTGCCAATAAAGTTGTGTTGTGGCTACCAAAGTTTGGCTAAAGACAACAGCCTTCGCAACGTGCGCAATACGGGGGATAGTTGATATATGGAATGACCTGATTTGTGTCATTAAAGTTCTATTCTAAACGGATGAAGTTTGGCTAAAGACAGCGGACCTCACAAAGGGCGCAATGCGGAAGATGATTGAAATGTATTTTTTGTGCAAACAATATTATTTTTTTACAAACTAAACATTTTAAATTTTTTATTATTAAAATTTTATTTTGTTTCAAATAAACAAAAACATATTTTGACAGAGAAGGTATGCAAATAAGAAAACAAAAAAATGATCAGCTGTTCGATTGCATATACCTGTTTAGTGTACACTGGTAATTCTCTTGTTTACAAATTGTGTTGTTGTTTTTACAAATTGTTTTTACAATTTTTGAAACATAGCGACATCAACCTACATTGTTGAATGCTGTAAAGCAACCACAGGGTATACAGAGGCGTCACGAGCAAAAAACTATTTCCCTCTCTTTCGCACAAAACGAATTCAATAATTTTTTTTGCTGTATTTTATATACCTCTTCTCACCAAACAATTTCAAAATCAAACAAAAGCTGCTTTTAGACTTTTTTAAATGTCAAAAGTGACACCTCTGTATACTTTGTGAAGCAACTGAAGATATTTTTTTGTATTTTTACGCACTTGCTGTGAGTTTTGTTTGCGATCAGGTAGTATACGTGTGAATTGCCGAAAATCTTCGTAATTTGGTCTAAATGCAATATGTAATGAAATCATCACACATTGAGAGAAAATACGGATGGAAAATTTGACAGTCTCTTTGTGTCTCTTCATTTTTGAAATTATTAAAAAATAAGCAAGTCACTATATTACCATATTACATACAGTTGTACCCTTGGAACTGACCACAAGTCATCCAATAGTAAAATTCATTTCTAATATTGACCATTTTGGAGGAATCCAGATTTCTCAGGATCTGGTCAGCGGATTTTTCGCACGGAAAGTTTTTTCTAATACTTACAGTCTATATTATCATATTCCATACATTTGCACCCTTGGAACTGACCACAAGTCATCCAGTAGTAAAATTCATTTCTGATATTGACCAATTTAGAGGAATAGAGATTTCTCAGGATCTGGCCAGGGATTTTTTTTGCACGGAAAGCATCTCTTGGAACTGACCACCTATCATAGATATTTGCTTAATTAAAACGTGGTGCTGCCACTAAATCCCGCAAAATATTTTGGGAATTCTTTCGTTTTAATTTCCTCCGTTGCTATTAATCGTTGCTATCTTGACTCACCTGTTATTGTTTTATATCAATCGTATAAACACAAAAAATATAAATCATACGACTTTTATTCTCTTTTTTGTCATACGGATGGAATTTCATTTTACTTTTTCATTAGACATGTCGTACGTAAAGTGTGGTCGTCTGAAGGGCCCACGGTATACTTAACAAGGTACCAGCCAAAGTATAACAAGTAGTCCGACTCTTTGACAGCAGTACCTAACTCTAAGCATGTGTTAGTGAAATGTGTTCCCAATAAGCAAAAACCTTTGAAATGATGTAAATATGTATTTGAAAACCTATTAAAATTTCATACATAGCCTTTGAGAACAAATTTGAAAATTTTTGTTTTCAAATGGAAAATTATGGCCTTCTCAAACAAAAAGGCAGTTAGAAATCAAACGTATTTTTCAAATGTATTTCAAATGTAAAAAAAGGCTAGAGGTAAGCTTGAAACTAAAAAAAATTTCAAACGTATTTCAAGTATTCTTTATTATTATTTTCATACATATTTCAAACCCTAATTATAATGCTAACTATTGCAAAATTCATATATTTTTTTACATCACCTGAAAATAAAACATTCATACATTTATTTTAGCATATTTTTCGTTTATATCTCCGATTATTTCTCCTATATTTAACGTTTTTTCGCTCCCTTGCTGTAGAAAAAATGTTCTGTTTTTATTTTTCTAAAATAATTTATTTTTTGAAAAAAACTTTTCTAAGTTCATTTAAAACAAAACTTTGAAAATTTTATAAATATCACACATTATATTTTTTTAAACGTTTTTTGAAATTATCATGTTTATTTCAAAGGCTAAACTTTAAAATTTGAAAACAATGTGGAAAATACATTATTTAGTTAAGAAAATTTTCAAAAATATTCACAGGTTTGAATCGATGTTTATTGGGTTATATTAGTAACAAAAATGTACATGCATTTGAGCTAGGGTTTCCAAATTCCCGACGTTTTTTTGATTCCCGGGAATAAAATATTCACATTCCCGGGAAACCGGGAATTCCCGATAAAATAAAAAAATAATTAAAAAAGCGCTTACGTGATGTTTTATTTAATTTTTGTAACTTAGAAACATGTATATATAAATAAGCAGGGTTGGCAATAGTTTTGAAGCAATGAAAAGATAAGAGTAATGGTATTTGGATTATTTCGGTAACGTTATTTTAGCGGTAATGGTAGTGAGATAAAAGGGTATTTTAAATATAGGAAAAATTATTTAAAAATAATATAAAATAACGGCAATTCGGTAGCGATATTTTAGAGATAACGGTAGTAGAATTAATTAAAAAAAAATCGTAAAAGTATTTTAAAAATTTTATTTTTTCTGTGGACGGGTGAGATTTCGCGTATTAATTCGCTATTAAGAGTGTGTGCCAATCGGTAACAATTTACTTGAAAATGTAAATTTTTGATAGATAGGTATGAGGTGAATAAAATTTTACTAGCTCATCTGGCTACATAAATTTTTGACAATTGAAAAGAAAAATTTGAAAATACAAAAAATAAAATATTTTATAATTTTAGTTTGTAATACATTTGTGATTGTAGAAATTAATAAAAAAAAATCAATAAAAGTGTTTCTTTTATTAAAATAAATGCAGATTTTCTTGTGAAATTAGTGACAATTGTCAAAATTTAATGTAATCCAAAAAGATTTCGTTTGGCACAGCAAAAGTGATAATATTTTCCACCATAAGAAAATTTTATTTTACCACAGAACTTTGATGCCGTTTGGCACACAGTCTGATTCGAAAATGTAAGTAGAAATTTTAAGTATTTTAACACAATAATATTTCTATTAATTCGAAAATGTATGTAAGTAGAAATTTTAAGTATTTTGACACAATAATATTTCTCACCAAGGTGTTGAATTCACACAGCACCCGTAAATGTGGAGGAAGAATTTCGTGTATGTGATAGTCTTACTACTTGTATACTTTGTACACTTGGGCCCTTTAGACGAAAGGGATTGTCAAAGACCGAAGTCCCATGCCAAAGACCTAACAGGTGAGAATGTAAAAAAATAAACACAGTTGTTCAAAAGGTATTAAATAATAAATGTATTTTTGGTACGATATTTTTTGTGTGTTAGAGCACTTTTAGCTGAGGGGGCATGTTGCAGGGTTTTTCTCAATTCTCTTTTAAATGCCCTTCGTAAAATAATGAACGTTTAGATGGAGACTCAAAAGGCGTGCGCCATTTTTTTGATTCTTAAATGTTGTTTCTATTATTATGTTTAACATTAAATATGTTTATTTTTAAAATATTTGTTAATTAAATATTGTAGTAAATATGTGTAACAAATACACTTTAATAATTTATACAAATTTGGCGAAATTATATTGATGGGATTTCATATACTAGTGAATTACCTTAAAACATATTATAAACACGTCTTTTTGTTATTTTTTCTGCACTAATGGAAAAATAAAACAAACTTATATATACTATTTTAATTTTCAATACGAAAAATTACAACTTTTCTTTTTTCAGTTTTAATTAGGACGTTATACGAGTTTTACCTTTCATGTTTATTTTTTTACTAATACACTTATACCCCACTTACACATGCACGAAATCTCGTAGATTTCATTTAAAATCTTTTTACAAATCTAGACCGTTTTTGCACTTACTATTTTGATATTTAGGAAGATTTCATTCATTTTTGTTAATATTTCTTGAAATTGTGTTTAATATGAAAAATAAGAAGGAGAAATGGGATATGCATTAAAATTTTATTTATAATAAAAAATATATATTTAAATATAACATTACCTTCTATTTTAAGTAAACTTTTTATTCATGTTTATCAATTTATTAAAATTTTGCTGACCTTTTAATTTTTTTTTTTTTGTTTGTTTTGTTTTTCTCTTTTTCCCTTGTGCAGCATCGTATTTTTAGTATTATTTAGGAAAAAGAGTTGCATCACTAAAAAGAACTAGATTTTGAGTAGATTTTAACGAAATCTAGTTACGAATTAGATTTTGTTTTGTATGGAAAATCTAGTTAAAATCAACAAGATTTGGCTCGAAATCTCATTAGTACTAGATTTCGTGTATATGTAAATGGAGTATTACACTTTTTAAAATTTAAACAAATTTGCTTTTCAATTTTTCTTTCCTCTTACTGTTTAATTTTTTTATAGTTTATTCATTTATTTAAACAAACCCTAATTGGCCATATATGGTTAAAAGCAGGGACAGAAAATAATGATTATTCTTAAAATTTAAAACAAAAAATCAAATACAAGGATTAAGAGTAAAAGTTAATTGAATATACCATTTGTTTTCTCTAAAGATGCATTATCGGTTAAAACAATGATTTAAATTTTTTAAGTTTTATTTAAAAAACTTAATTTTAATTATTATTCTTTCAGTTTTATATATTACTCAAATAATAATAATTTTTCTATTTATTTTTTGTTCAAATCATAACGATTATTTTTGATTTTTATATATTTCATTGAAAAATAAAAATCAATTTTATTTTTTTTTTTTTTCAAAAATAAAACTCAATATGAAAACATTTTCTTTTATAAAATGTTTAGAGAAATGACATTTTATAAAATTAAATGTAGTTTTTAAGCTTTTCTTAATAAATTAAAAAAAGGGAAAGTATGCATTTTAACTCTTCACTATCTAAAACGCATAGCTATGATAATATTGATATTTATAAAATTTTCAATATGGAATATGCGCATCCAATATAAGGTTTAGTTTCCAATTCGGATTTTTATGTCTATGTCAAAGTTTTTTCGGATTGCATAAACACTCGGTTATGGATACATTATCTCTTTTTATACCCACAAATATTGGGGTAATTTGATTTTGTCATTTCGTTTATAACTCATCGTAATCGTAGACTCACATAAGTTCACACATACATATATTTTGGGTCCTTATAATATTCTAAGACGATGTAGTCAAATACTAACGTCTGTCTGTTGGATGCACTGTATAGTGCAAACGGGAAAAGCAAGAATGCTGAAATTTATTCTGAAAAGTCCTTTCAGAATAAAGTTTAAACTCTTATTATATAGCAATTGTGATCAAATAATACCCAAGAGTATAAGTAGTCCGAAATCACATGTAAAATGTGGCGAAAATGAGGTCTCATTTGAAAAGTTGAAAAAGTTATTTGAACGCAGAGTTCGGTACATAAATAACTTAAGTCTCATAAAAGGCACTCTTTCGAAAATCGCCCTAATGCTCATATTGTTTCGATATATCATAATATAGTACGTAATAAAGATTACCGAATAGATCGATACACAATAATTTTCTTAAGACCTCCTTCCAAACTCACTTTAAGTTTATTAGATACGTTTAGATGGTGACAATACATATAAGATTCGGCTTGCCTGAATATAACACAACTACTTCTTTCTAATGTTGTAATAACATTTTAATCAAAATTTCATTTATTTGTAAAAATATATTTTCATATTAAGTTTTATTTTTGAAGAAAATAATATAAAACTCAAGAATAACTTTTATTTTTCAAGCAAAAATATAAAACTTAAAAACAGGGTTCCAAATATTCAATCACTTATCACTCACGCTCATGAAAAAAACAAATAAATTTTGTTTTTTTATCTTCCATTCGTGTACAAAAACAAACAAAAACAAGTAAGAAAGTATAGTCGGGCGTGACCGACCATATGATACCCTACACCAGTTATGAATATTACATGTGATCTATTTTTCATAATAAAGCATTTATTTGGAATATTACCTTGATTCCGATTTATCTAAGCAATTTATTGACGAAAAACTAATTTTCTGAAAGAGGCTTTATATGGGGGATAGGAGCAAATGTGAACCGATCCCGATAAAATGGGCTGGATAGATTTCTAATTATATATTAAATGTCTGTGATAAATTTCATTGCAATAACAGTGTTAATAAGTGAATTGCGGATATTCAAGTCATTTTCCGAAGGGGTGCTTTGTATGGGGGCTAGGGTCAAATGAAGTCCGATCATTTAGAAGTTCGGCACGGTCATCAAGGCTTCTATAAAACTGAGTTGTGTGAACTTTTAGCGAGATACATTTATATTATAAATAATTATGAGCTCAAAGCCCTTTTCGGGGGGTTCAGTTGTATGGGGGCTAGGTGAAATAATGGAACGATTTTAACCATTTTCAATAGGCTTCGTCCTTGGGTCAAAAGAAACATGCATGCCAAATTTTATCATTTAATTATAATTATCTTGAAAATTGCGACCTGTACTTTGATAACAACGTTTACATGGACACACGGACGGTCGAACGGACGGACGGACATCGTTAAATCAACTCAGAAAGTGATTCTGAGTTGATCGCTATACTTAAATGTGGGTATAGCACTGATATTTTAGTGCGTTACAAACAGCACAAACGCATAATACCCTTCCCACTATAGTGGTGTAGGGTATAATAAAAGTTTGCTTTATTCATTCTTTCATGATACTATTAGTAATGTTTTTTATTTTCGTACAATATTGAGATAACAAGAAAAACTTTTTTTCATGCACATGGACATTTTTGAGAAATAAACTGTTTGTAAAAATCTCACAACTGAAAGAGAATAAAGTTTTATTTTGCACTAGCATTCTAAAATGCAATGTAAAATTTGTTTATAGTTCTGTTGAGAAATAAATGTAAAATGTCGAGATTGAGAGTGTTCGTGTTTTTGTATGTAAGAATGAAATAAGAATATGTTCAAAGACTGGTAAAAAACAACAATTTTGTGCTTTTTATACCCTTCACCTTCGTGAGAAGGGTATATATAAGTTTGTCATTCCGTTTGTAATTTCCAAAATATAATTTTCCGACCCCATAAAGTATATATATTCTGAATCCTTATAGATAGCGGAGTCGATTAAGCCATGTCGGTCTGTCTGTCCGTCTGTCTGTTGAAATCAGTTTTCTGAAGACCCCAGATATCTTCGGGATCCAAATCTTCAATAATTCTATCAGACATGCTTTCGAGAAGTTTCCTATTTAAAATCAGCAAAATTCGTTCATAAACAACGGAGATATAAGCAAAAATCCGAGACAACCTCTGAAAATTTCATAAAAAATAAGCAACAACAACACTGCTTATTCATTGCGTTGTGTATTTTGTTTTTGTTTTTTTTTTTATTATTATTTCGTTTTGTATGTTTGGATGTCTGTTGGTTTCATTGCGTTGTGTATTTTGTTTTTTTTCTGTATTTCGTTGTGTATTTGTGTATTTTGTTTTTTGTGTGTTTATATCGTTTAGCGTTGTTGTTGTTCATTATGTTTTGCTATTGCTATAATAATGATATAGTCGAGAAAATGAATTTTTAAATACACCATGGTGAAGGGTATATAAGATAGCACTCTTACTTGTTTATGATGCGTTTATTTCTGTTCTTTTGCTCGGTCCTACTTGTTGATTTGTTTTTTTTTTTCAATGTAAGTCGTGCTTTTTTCCTTTTTTCTTGCAAAAAATATGTTTGTTTACTTAATTTTATGTGAAAAGCATACACAGAAGGATACTTCCAAATAAATTATAGTAGGGCAAACAAGAATGTTTTGTTGTTGTGCAAACAAAAAATTTTGATCCGCACCGAAATAGGAATGGGCATAAATCTAGCGTTCTAATCCAGCTGATTTTAAAAATTTGTTTATACCACATGATAGCACATTTCCTTGTAACTTCAACATAGGACAAAAATTATCCGTTCTATTAGGGTCCGGAAGTAATGGGCCTCCAAAGTTTTGATATATAATTGAATATATCTTGATTACTAATTAACCGATATGGTCGAAATGGGTATCATTGGAAAGTTCTATGAAAGATGAGGTACCCTTATATCGATATATTTATGAAATAATGGTACTTTTGTAAAAAAGTCGAAATAAAAAAACATAAAATTTGACCCTGGCTCTCAATGGGTTAACGGTGTATGTAATTTTATACATCAATGGAAAGCTCTTTCATAGACCTTTGCAATGATACCCATATTGGTTAATCAGTAATCGAGATATATTCAATTATATATCAAAACTTTGGAGGACCATAACTCCCGGACCCCAATACAACGGACAATTTTTTGTCCTTTGTTGAAGTCAAGAAATAAGTTTTATTTTTGAACAAAAAAATAAAACTTAACATTAAGTTTTATTTTTGAGGAAACAAATTTTTCTTGAAAAATAATTATTAAATTTTAAGTTTTATAATAAAACTTA